CTGGGGATTACAAACTTTCATACTCAAGAAATGGACACCTAGCACAATAAATACGAAGATAAGAGGAATACCATCCTGAATTTTTGGAATTATTTTAAAATTCCTAAATTCTGACTTTGTTTTTATTTATGGTTTGTTTTATTTTTTGGCAAGAGAATGAAAGGCATGACAGTTGCTCACAAGTATCACTGTGTTTGGGGGTGGACAGGCATGGCCTCCTCCCTCGTGAATCCTGAGACTCCAGGGATGTGCTGGGAGAGAACTTGGGGAGCGGGGAGCCGTCAGATGTACAAGGAAGCCCCCTAAGAGTAACTCTCAAGCTAATTAGATCTTTGTGCTAGAACGGCAACGGAGGGGATGCAACAACTTCACAAGCAACAGGAATGTCAAGGTAGGAGAATATCCGGGCAGATTTTTTGTGCATACTGAGGAAGAAGCTGGGAGAAAGCCAGAATCGGGGGCAATGGTGTGGGAAACTGTTACGGTTGTAGAGAAATTATCTCCGCTGTTGCCTTTGGTTTGGGAATGGGAGTGGGGAGTCGTTCCGGTCCCATTGCCAGCGTCTCTAACGAGGAAGCCTGGGGGCCGCCTCCTAAGGGGTGGCCCCACTTTCAGCAGTCATGGTTGGTTGCGGTCTGAAACGGAGGAGCTGAATGCCCAGAGAAATGGGCTCGCTCGCAGCCACCAAAAGGGTCTCTGTAGGGCCGTCCGGCCACATCTACGTCTCTTGTGCTGTGGTTTTAGGCTCCTGTGCCCCACATGCCACTGCCAAGAGGAAGGCTGCCTCAACAGTGCCCTGGACATCCGGCGGAGGCTGCCCACCTCTGCTTCTCAAAATAGGGGAGTCCATGTCACCGTGAAGGACTTAGGAGAGGTGGCAGAAGTCCTGTCCCCTTCTTCTCTCCCTCAGGCAGTCAATTTCCAGGGTGTGGTGAGTTTTTTAAGCACACGCATTTTCTAAGATGGAAAACGACCACTCCTCTAAGAGGTTGAAGGGTGCTTGCCTCAACAGTTGCCCACTCGAGGGCTGAAGCTGTTGCCCGTTGTCTTTAGCCTGGGAAGAGGGGAGAACCTCAGTGGGGCCACAGGGCAGTGGCGCAGGGTAGGAGGGCGAAGGAACTTTCTTGGGTTCTGGAAAAGGCTTGAAGCAGTTCTCGTGGGCATGGGTTCAAAGGATGAGGGGAGGCCTCCTCCTGACCAATGCCAGCTTGGATAAATGACCCCTCTCCACATTTTCTACCTCTTTGGTGTTTCTCGAGAGCTTCCTCTGCCAACTGTTGTCCCAAGGGGGCGGGGTGGGTAGTTGGTCTTTGCCCACTTGGATACGAGTCAACCCGTTGTTGATCATTTCCATGGTGTGGAGGTTAAAACTGTGGCACACGTCAGCAAGAGCCGAAGGCCGCCTGTCCCGCCTGTGAATTGGGATGGTGGTGCGGAAAGGCCCGATGAGGCCTGGCGTAGGGGAAAAAAGCACGCGCGTTTCCACCCGCCTCGGGTAGCTTGGCGTTCCTGGCAATACGAGATGCTTCCCGAGATTGGCATCATTGCTACCTTGGAGAGTTGCATCCATCCTAAACGTCATCTTGGAAAGAAAAAAAAAATAACAGAAGAATTTTAAAAAGTATATACAAAAATAAAAAAAAAATATTTTTAGGCCAGAGTTTTCTACAGGTATTAATGAATATTTTTCTTAATCCTCATAAGTTTTACTGTGTTTAATATTTCTTAATACCGGTAGCATTAATTTATACTTTTGTAGCGACACACTATTTTTATAAAAACGCCACCACTTGGCTTGTCTTCGTGATGAGGGGGGGGGGGATTGTGTGAGGGCAATGTGCTGACCCATGTACTGTATTTAAAAAGAGAAAAAAAAGTTATCTACTGTCACGCTTGCTGTGTGTTAATAAACAAAAAGGAAACTTGTGCAGCGTTGGATCTTCTGTGCTGGGGACGGAAGGCCAGGCCAGGAAGGCGGTGGGGAGGGGGGACACCTGGGAGAACCCTGAAGGCAGAAGCCGGCCTTGCAGGGGCTCCTGGGCTGTGTGGGTGGTGGGCGAGGCTGTGGGGAGACTAGCTGGCTCTAAAGGCCCTTTGGGAACGGGGCCTCAAAGGCCGAAGGGGCCTGGCAAAAGCGGAGCCAAGCGAGGTGGGCTTTAGGTGTGCGTAGATGCGGCCTAGAACTGTGATGGGGCACATGCGGCCTTGCCAGCTGCTCTTTGTGGGCACTGGAGCACAGCCTGACAACGGGCCGAAAAATGGGCAAAAACCGGGGCATTTTTGGCTGCCAGCCAGCTGGTCTTTGTGGGCACCAAAGCTCCAGAAAACAGTCTGCAAACAGCCCGCTTTTTGACCATTTTCCAGGCTATTTTCAGGTCGTTTTTGGGGGGGGGAGGGGGAGAAAATGACCAAAGAAACAGGCCAGCTGGTGTGTGTGTGGGGGGGGGGTTTCCGTCCCACACGCATGCGCATTCCAGTTGGACCCTGGGTGCCGGAAAGGTTCGCCGTCCCTGGCCGAGAGGCTGGATCGATGGCCCCGCATTGTAACCGCTGCGATGGGTCTCCAAAGCGGCGGCCGGCCAGAAAAGGCCACGTGTTCCCCCCCCCCCTCTTCCAATGGGAATTTACTCGTGAAGCTCGGCCGGTTTGGCGGGGGGGGGGGGGGGGGCTGCGCGGCGGGAGCGCTCAGGGGTCCAAACCGGGGACCTTTTAAGACTGAAGCCGGGGGATTCTGGGAGTTGAAGTCCCCAAGTGTGGGCAGCCCAGGGCTGGGGTGGGGGGAGCGCCGCGCTGGGCCTTGAAGCGGGGCGGGCCTTCGGGGAGAGGCAGGGGGGAGCAGCCGTGGCTCCGCCCGCCAGGACGGCCTCCCTGCTGGGGGAGGGCCCGGGGTCCAGCGGCGGCGGAAAGCCTGGCACTCGGGGAGCGACGCGATGCAGGCTCAGCCGCCGCTGCACAGCGGCTACTTCCACCCGGGGCTTCGCGCGTGGCAGGCGACGGCCGCCGCCCTCCACGCCCGGCACCTCGTCTACCCGGTCTTCGTCACGTAAGTGCCCCGGGCGGGAGAGGAGGCAGGGCGGCCGCGGCGCCCCGGGAGACCCGCCTGGGAGCTTCCCTTCCCCCCCTGACGCCGCCTCCCTCCCTTGGCCCCTTCAGGGACAGCCCGGATGCCGTGGAGGAGATCGCCAGCCTGCCCGGCCAAGCTCGGTAAGTCGGCCTGGCGGCTTCCCTCCGGCGGCGGCCAGAAGGCCAAAGGAGAGGCTGCCCGGCCTTCCTCTCGGGCGCCCTGAAAGCAGCCCCCCCCCCNGATCTTGTAGGGCGTTGGGAGGTAAGTGGCAGGAGGCGGTCTCTCAGGTAGCCAGGTCCAAAACATGAAGGGCTTTAAAAGTAACGACTAGCACCTTGAAGCGCGTCCGGAGACCAATGTTGGTCTCTCTCTTCTCTGGAAAAAGTGTGTTTCCTTTTTCTGTAACCAAGGGCGATCCAGCAGCGTGGCTGTTGCTACCTGACATAACCTGTCAGAAGCTCCAACCTTTGATGGATTGGGCTTGGTTTGAGATTTGGTAAAAGAAATGACCCTAACTGTTTTTTTTTGGGGGGGGGGGAAATGGGCAAGCAAATACAGGAATTTTGTTGGGAGGGAAGATCGGGACGGAATGGTTACTAACTGGCAGAAACCCCTCTTGGGAAAAGTGCCACCTCAAAGACGGGGTGAGCCTCGGAAATGTCAGGATGCCATCATATTAGGGGGTGGGTGAGAATTGAAACTTGCAGTTGCCCCCATAGTGCACTTTCCCCCCTTTGACTTCAAGCAAGTATAGCAAAGTATGGATTTAAATATTGTCACAAGTGGGATAGCACACGCCAATCTGTCTACATTAGGCGTGTTCAAAGTTGGGAACTTAAGACTTGTGGACTTCAACTCCCAGAATTCCCCATGCTGGGGAATTCTGGAAGTTGAAGTCCACAAGTCTTAAAAAGTTCCCAAGTTTGGACACCCCTGGTCTACATCTTTGGGGGGGGGGAATTGTAGAGGAGAGCCCAAGGTTTTCTTTGGGAACCAAAAGATCACGTTGGGGAACAATGATTTATTATTTATTTATTTATTAAATCGATTTATAGGCCGCCCAATCCCGGAGGACTCCGGGCGGCTTACATTGAAAGAAAGAATAATAATAATAAATGACAATAAAAACATGTTAAAAACAATACATATACATTCGTTACGATCGGAGCTGGACCTCAACAATGAGGTCAACAGCCCCAGGCCTGTGGGAATAGCCAGGTTTTCACAGCTTTTCTGAAGGCCATGAGAGTGGGCGAGGTCCAGATTTCTGGGGGTAGCTGGTTCCAAAGCTCGTTCCAATGATGAGCAAACCAGGGTGGGAGGGCAGACTTTAGCAAGGCTACTTCCAAAGCAAGCAAATTGGGGTCACCAAGATAGCTTTACCTGCTCTTTTCCTGGGTGGCCCTAAAGTAAAACTACAATCTCTGTTGTGATTCTGGAGGGCGCGGTGTAAGGATTCCTGTCTCTCCCTTCAATGTGTCTGAATCTCTCAGGATAATTGTGTGGTTTTTTCACCAGCAAGACACTATGTGCTTCAAGTATGTCTTTAGTGTGGAAAACTCACATTTCAGGGAAAGTCAGACAAAACAATAAGCCTGTCATTGCTGGAATATGTGGCACGTGGTGGTGCAGGCCTCTGTTACAGATGTTTGCCAAGAGCTCATTTCCATTCCCAGGGAGCATGGGCAAGTTTGCCTCTGCGTGGCCACCGCTGCCCTCGGTCAAGGCAATCGGAAGGGCTTGTGGTCAAAGGCAGCCTCGGGCCTCGCGTGGTGGAAGCTGCCCAGGGAAGCCGAGGGCATCGGCTTCTGCTGGGGTTCGTGACTCGGGGAGGTATTTTCGGTTGTGCGACTTGGGAAGCCTGCACTGAGCCGCTTCTCCCCGAGGCAGAACGAGTGCAGTCACTTCCTGTCCTCTGTCCCTCTTTGTCCTTCAGCTGACAATGAAAACAACATTGCCTCAAACCAGCCCAGGTCACCTCCAGCGGTGGGGGAAGAGAAGTGGAAGCCTCAGCCGCAGAGGAACAACTCCAACAATAGTAGGTGTACTATGCGACAAACACTTCAGGAGGAGGAGGAGGAAATGGGCCAGCTGGTTTCTGCGGTGCCCTCCCTCCCAAGTAGCATCATGCTGAAACCCAAGGAATCTGGATGGGCTCCCAGCATCCCTTCTTCTCCATGTAGGCCAGCATGTAGAGGATACCGGCATGCCCCTCGCCCCCGTTTCCCTCTGAAAGTCTAAAGCAAGGGGTGTCCAAACTCGGGAACTTTAAGACTTGTGGACTTCAACTGATAAATAACCCCAGTTAAGGCTTTTTAAGAGGCATGGGGGTTTATTGGAAAAACAATTACATCCTCTCCCATGGAATATTTCCTTTTTCTTCATGCCAGAGGCAGTGGAGGTATTTTTGCTAGTCACAAGGGCATGTCACTTCTTCTTTTTTAAATATATATATATTTTAGCTTTTATTAGCTACCGCAGTGGTTCCCAAACTTGGCAACTTTAAGACTTGTGGACTTCAACTCCCAGAGTTCTCCAGCCAGAAGAGCTAGCTGGAGAATTCTGGGAGTTGAAGTCCACAAGTCTTAAAGTTGCCAAGTTTGGGAACCACTGAACTACCGTATGATGCACCTTTTTTCCCTCGAAAAAGAGGGTAAAAATCTGGGTGCATCTTATACACTGAATACAGCAATTTTGCCTTCCTGAAGCCCTGCCCCCTTTGCAGAAATGGCCATGCATAGCCTTTAGGAGACTTGCAGAGTGCTCCTGGGGGCTGAGGAGGGCAAAAATGAGCAAAAAATGGGCTGTTTCTACACCCCCCAAGCCCCGAGGAGAACTCTATAAGCCTCCTAAAAGGCTATGCATGCTCTTTTTTTGAAAAAAAAAACACGGAGCCATTTTCAGGAAAAACAGGACATTTTGGGGAGGTCTGCAGAGTGCCAAAACTTTTTTTTTTTAATTTGTCTCTTCAAAATCTTTGTGTGTCATATTCCGGTGCGTCTTATACTCCGAAAAATACGGTAATAATTGCAACTGATTTGCAATCCACAAACCTCACTGCCCTTTGCAAACCTTTTTGTCTTCCTTGTCTGCAGCATCAGCTGGCAGCTCCCTCCTGAACAGCCCGATCCCGGAGAAGGAGCGGCAGAACATAGCAGAGCGGCTGCTGAGGGTGATGTGCGCTGACCTGGGGACGCTGAGTGTGGTGAGCGGCAAAGAGTTTGTTAAACTGGCGCAAAGTCTTGTTGACAACGGTGCTCGCTACGGCGCTTTCTCCGTTACGGAGATCCTTGGCAACTTCAGCACGCTGGCCCTCAAGCACTTGCCCCGGATGTACAACCAGGTGAAGGTGAAGGTCACCTGCGCTCTTGGAAGCAATGCCTGCTTGGGCATCGGCGTCACCTGTCACTCGCAGAGCGTTGGCCCCGATTCCTGCTACATCCTGACAGCCTACCAGGTGGAAGGCAGCTGCATCAAGAGTTACGTCCTGGGGATCAAAGGGGTGGACATTCGCGACAGCGGGGATTTGGTCCACCACTGGGTGCAAAACGTGCTCTCCGAGTTCGTTATGTCCGAGATCCGGACCGTGTACGTCACGGACTGCAAAGTGAACTCCTCCGCGTTCTCCAAGGCGGGCATGTGCTTGCGCTGCTCTGCGTGTGCCTTGACCTCCGTAGTGCAGAGCGTGCTTAACAAGCGCACCCTCCAAGCACGCAACATGCACGAGGTCATTGAGCTGCTGAATGTCTGTGAGGACCTGGCGGGATCCGCAGGGATCTCCAAGGAGACCTTTGGCTCCCTGGAGGAGACCTCCCCTCCCCCCTGCTGGAACTCCATCACGGACTCTCTGCTTTTGGTCCACGAACGTTACGAGCAGATCTGTGAGTTTTACAGCCGGGCCAAGAAGCTAAACCTCATCCAGAACCTCAACAAGCACCTGCTGAGCAACTTAGCCGCCATCCTGGCTCCGGTGAAACAAGCCGTCATCGAACTGAGCAACGAGAGCCGGCCCACCTTGCAGCTGGTGCTGCCAACCTACGTGAAACTGGAGAAACTCTTCACCTCAAAGGCCAACGACGCGGGCATTGTCAGCAAGCTGTGCCACCTTTTCCTGGAAGCCCTGAAGGAGAACTTCAAGGTGCATTCAGCTCACAAGGTAGCTATGATCCTGGACCCTCAACAGAAACTGCGCCCGGTGCCCCCTTACCAGCACGAGGAGATCATCGGCAAGGTGTGCGAGCTGATCCACGAGGTGAAGGAATCTTGGGCCGAGGAGCCCGATTTTGAGCCCGCCTCCAAAAAATCCCGGACCCCCAGCGAGAGTTCTCCGACTCGGGAGGAAGACCGCTCGGGCAAAAGCGAGGTCTACGATTACTTGCAAGAGCCCCTTTTTCAGGCGGCCCCGGACCTCTTCCAGTACTGGTCCTGTGTGACGCAGAAGCACACCAAGCTGGCCAGGCTGGCCTTCTGGCTCCTGGCAGTGCCCGCTGTGGGGGCCAGGAGCAACTGCGTCAACATGTGTGAACAAGCCCTCCTGATTAAGAGGCGCCGACTGCTGAGCCCCGAGGATATGAACAAACTCATGTTCTTGAAGTCCAACATGCTTTAAAACAAGGTGTTGGGGGGGGGGTTTGTGGGAGGGGGCACACGCCCTTCCAGAACACTGTTCCAAATCCAGAATCCACTGTGGACCTCATTCGGAACGCCCTGGGAAATTTAAAAAAAAAAGTGCTTTTGATACACATATTGATACCTCTAAGATCAGTGTTTCTCAACCTTGGCCAACTTGAAGATGTCTGGACTTCAGCTCCCAGAATTCCCCAGCCAGCATTCGCTGGCTGGGGAATTCTAGGAGTTGAAGTCCGGACATCTTCAAGTTTGCCAAGGTTGAGAAACACTGCTCTAGATTGATATGTATATAAAAAGCTCGGTGGAAGGGAACGCGGGTGAGAAGCACACCTATTGCCAGAAATACACTCCTTCCTCTTAGGTTTCCGTGTGAACTTGATAAAACCTCACGTTTTCAAGGGGGCAGGCCAGTTAGCCCGGGGTCTTTTAGGCAGCTGAGTTTCTAAATTAACTTGAATGGTTGTTTTCATGGTTACTCTTCTTCAGAAATAACCCACCCACTCGCCCAGCGCACCAGCCAACTTTGTGTTTTCCTTCCCCTCTGATGCCAGGCTTACAGGCAGCCTTGCCAATTATTTGGCCACACTGGAGGGCTCCGAGCCGCGCGTCCCCACGGGGGCATTTAAGATTTCCTCTTGGCGACATAGAACACGTCACATTTGCAGGCAGCTCTCTCAGAAATCTCCCGGTCAGGAACGGAGACTTGGAGGGAATTAAAAAGAAGAAAAAAACTTACCTGATTTTGATACCAGTGACTACTCTTAAGGTGGGGAAAAAAGGGTGTGTGTGTGATTAAAACCTGAAAGAATATTTTGCAGAAAACAGTACATAATCCTCCTGTTAAAAGTCCCTGCTAACCGCTCTGTCTAAACTGGGTGGTCTTTGGGTTTCGGTCCGTTGGTTTGGGGAGGCCTTTTGTGTCCCCTTAGAAATGCCGGCCATAAAAACATCGGTAGGAATCCCTGCTTCACACCTGTCCGTCTCCCAGCCTCCAGAGACCTTTTGCTCTGCAAGAACGATTTTTTATTTTAATACGTGTGTCCACGTTTCCACCTTTCAGAGCAATAGTTGACTCAAGGCTAGTTGTCCTTTGAGCACCGCGTTTCTGGCTCCGCTCTTGCTGGCGAGGAGGCAGAAGGTAAGCGCAGAGTGGAGGTGCTGGGATTCTGATGACACACCTGTTCTGGGACCTGGGTTGCACCTGGTGGTGGTGGTGATGTTNGATTTGAACAGCCGAACTGCCGAACTAGCAGTCAGCTGAAGTAGCCTGCAGTGCTGCATTTAACCACTGCGCCACCTCGGCTCCTGAACTTCAGTTAGAGAAGCTGCCACCAGAGAAGTTCACGCCTCCTGCCACCTTTCCCCAGGTTGCCACATTGTGGCCCCCTCGGATATGATGGACGGGCGCATCCATGCGATCAAGGAGGCTCTGGTTGCCAACGATCTGGGCAATAAGGTGGGTGTGAGGGACTAAGCAGGCTCTGAACAGGTGCGGCCAGGAGCCTCTTTCCTAGGTCGCTGGAAGAGGAGAATTCAGTCTGGAGCTGCTTTCAGAGGCTTCCCAGGTTCTGAACAGCTCGGTGGGGGGGAAGGGCTCTCTGTGGGGGAGGGGCTCGGGGTCTGGGCAGATGTGGAGCACATGACTGCTGCGCTGTTGTCCCTGCAGGTGTCAGTCCTGAGCTACAGCGCCAAATTTGCTTCCTGCTTCTATGGCCCTTTCAGGTGAGGGCTGCCGGAGGTGTGTTTGGTCAGGGAGGAGGAGGGGGATCCCCCGTCACCGACGGTGCCGTCGTAGAACTTGACGGGGCCGCTTTGGTGTCTGGGGAGCGAAAGGGCTCATCTGTTTTCTTCTGGCTTGCGTAGAGACGCGGCCTTATCCAAGCCCGCCTTCGGGGACCGGCGGTGTTACCAGCTTCCTCCAGGATCTCGAGGGTTGGCTTTGCGGGCAGTGGTGAGTGGCCTTGGGAGACAGCCAGCTGGGCTGGTGGAGCAAATGGGCCCTGAGGGCACGACTGGATGCTCTCTTACTGGAGGAGGGCTATGGATTTTGAAGGTCTGGGAACCTATGCGAAAAAGGGCAGAAGCACCCAGAGGAATTGCTGCTGGAGCCGGCCCAACTGGACCGGCTCCTTGCTACCCCTTGGGCTGCTGGCCATGCCAATGGCAGTGATGCCCTCCAGCCTCTCAGCCAGATCTTCCCACAGTCTCAGCTTTAGCCTGGCCCTTTTATTAATTTACTGTGAATTCCGCTCACTCATATCCAGCAAAGTCTTTCAAGGGAGGATTTACGGTCACAGACCTTATCTCGCTTGGAGAGCTGCCAGGCCGAGATCTGCAGAACTTTGCAAGGAGTCTCGGAGAGTCAGGAACCAATGAAGCGAACTAATTGTCTCCTGCAAACTCCACTCCTCTGGGAGGGGCCATTCATCATCCACCTGTGGCCTTCCTCCCAAATCAACCCCTGTTCCTTAGCTGTTCCCTTCATCTGGCAGCTCTGCACATGCGCACACTGGGAACAGGCTCCAGCTGTTCTTCTGCCTCACTGGCGTCTGACTCTGAAAGCAGCTGATAACTGGCATATGGCCCTGCCCCCCTCTCTGCCTCCGACACAGAGCCCTCATCCGAGCCTTCCCCAGACTCCAGGACTGGCCCATCTTCCTCCCCAACTTCCCCACTGTCCGAATCTGCTGCCAGCTCTGCTGGTGAGCCACAACAGAGTCCAGAGGGAGGAGTCATCTATGGCCAAATGTCTGTTGTGGGAGATGGTGGCCCATTCTCATGGACTCCCTGGCCCAGGAAGGGGGAGGGAGGCTGGCTGCTTGACCCCATTGGCGAGCTTCCACAGGGGTCGGGGGGGATTCAGTCAAGGCAACCTGTTTTCTGCAAGGGATCAGGGGAAAAAATATCTGCAGATCGGAGAGGTCAGCCTGTCAGAGGATTTGCCTTTTGCTCTATCTGAGAAAGTGCTTTAAAGGGCTGTTGGGGAACAGACAACATCCCCCACCCCCACAAGCAAGGGAATGTGTATTGCTGTGTGTTGTGTTGCCAAGATGTCAGCCCACTAAACAAGCTCTTGTGTGTGTGTATTTGTGTGGCCGTTCCACTTGACCACCCATTGAAGGAAGCTGTTGGGTTCAGCTCCTGCCTGTCTTGTGAAGTGGCTCTGCTAAACTCCCCCCCCCACCATGACCTCCCTCTGCTGTATTCCCCTCCCCCACACCAGGACCGGGACGTGAAGGAGGGGGCAGACATGCTGATGGTGAAACCTGGGATGCCCTACCTTGACCTGGTGCGGGAAGTGAAGGACAGAGTAAGCCACTTCCCCCACCCCCCCCCCTGCCCCTGAGAGCGGCCAGTAGTGGTGGGTGCCTGGCCCCCCTCCCTCTGCTGAGAAATGTGCCCTGTGTTTTCCCAGCATCCCAACCACCCCCTGGCAGTCTACCACGTCTCGGGGGAGTTTGCCATGCTGTGGCACGGGGCGCAGGCCGGGGCCTTTGACCTGAAGGCGGCAGTGATGGAGGCCATGACCAGCTTCAGGCGAGCAGGTGAGCGGGGGAGGAAGGGCAACCAGGGAACCCCAAAGCCAGTGCCCAGGATAAGGGGGGGAGAGAGGAGAGAGGACTGCAGCTGGAAGTGCCAAGAAAGCGGAAGTTGGATTCCCGGGAGAAGAACACCAACAGGCCGGCTTGGCTGTGGAGGATGGTCCTTTCACTGGAGGAGCCAACGGGCCGGTTTCCAGCCACGAGCCGACTTCTTCTGAAAGAAAAAAGCTTTGAGCAGATGCTTCATTTGGGAAAACGCTTGTCTTGCAGGAGCCGATGTCATCATCACCTATTATGCGCCTAATCTTCTCCAGTGGCTGAAGGAAGAGCAGGCGTGAAGGGGGTCCCTGGACTGGCTGCCAAGAGGGAAACACGGGACATGCCAGCAAGCACGTTTGGGCTGCCCAGGGGGGGAAACTTTTCTTTTACAGCTTTTGGAAGATCTTGCTTCAAAGTTTCATGAAGTAGAGAAACTGGGCTGCTCCTAGCAACGTTGTAACCGGATTCCCAGTCCCCCTTCCTGATACTCTTTCTTTAAAAACGAAACATTTGCCTTTTAAAATACTGCCACAATGTTGTTGTTATTCCTCCCTGGGGTTTTATTTTTATTTTTTGCCCTGCTTAGTTGCAGAACATCCAGAGACAACAGATGACCTGAAAAGCAAAGCTCTCCCTTTTTACTTTACTTTTTTTACTTTTGCCTTTATTTGTATGCCGCCCTTTTCCCTAAGGGGACTCAGGGCGGCTCACAATTCAAAAGGGAGGGGGAAACAACAAACAATAAACAATACAGCATATTAAAAGAGAAAAAACGCAACAATCACACCATTCGAGTGGGGCTATAATCTTAACCCCAGGCCAGCCGGGACAGCCAGATCTTTAAAGCGGCGCGGAAGGACTGGAGGGTGGTGAGGGTCCGAATCTCCACGGGGAGTTCGTTCCAAAGGGACGGAGCAGCCACCGAGAAGACCCTCCTCCGGGTAGTAGCCAGTTTGCACTGGCTAGAAGATGGGATTTGGAGGAGGCCTAATCGATGCAATCGAATCGGTCTGGTGGAGGTAATTGGCAGTAGGCGGTCTCTCAAGTACCCAGGCCCACTACCCTTCGGGGAAGAGTAATCTCAGAGGGCCTTGTGAGCCCCAACGAGGCCCATCCATCCTCTACCAAAAGGAAGAAAGAGGAAAGACATTTTTCACTAACAAACAAACGAACAAAAACTTCTAAGCTTTAAGCATCTCGGTATCCTCCCCCAAGGGATTTTTCCCCCCCTGGTACACAGGTATTTGTAGAATTTTACCTGCAGTTTCCATTTGAGGCTTTGCGTATCTCAGTTTGACTTACAGAGTCACTTAAGCAAAAACCTTGTTAAAGAAACAATCTCATGATTCACTTCTGTTACCGTAAAGGAGGAGTTGCTCCGCCCACATAGCCTAGAGAGGAAGGAAAACCGCTACTGCCCGGTCTTGTCCTCGCCAATGTGGTTGGCATTCAGGGCGGTTCATTCAACTGGGCTTCAACAGACGATCAACGGAAGACTTTGGCCATGTTAGACCCGCCATTCGGCTTGGCATGAGACATACACACCAGGCCATTTTGTCTGATTCAGTAAACCATGAATTCCCATTTGGCTCCATGCGTGAACCCTCTTCTTCTGTTCATGCGAGCCCCTGTCCTTGCTGCTGGCTAGGCCATCCCCTGAATTGGGCGCCCCTTCTCTCCTTGCATGAGCGCTGGAAGCCAGGCACCTTCTGGGGTGCAGACTTGATGCTCTGTGCCTTTCTCCTAGCAGGTGGGCCCTTTCACATCGCTCCACTTTGCTCTGCTTTCTTCAAGCCACTTCTGGCTGCTTTCCTCTCCTTCCTTCTTTAAATCTACGTGAAAGCTGGCAAAAAATAAAATTCTAGCATTTATGGAGAGGGGGGAAAATTACTATAGGCACAGATAGACCTCTGCTGCTGCTATAGATGGAGAAATCATTCTGTGGAGCCAATAGGAGAGATTGGGCTTTGGGCTGTGGAAATGGGGGTGCTGCGTTGGTGGAAGGACCTGAAGAGAGATGGAAGGTGCTCCCTTCAAGGGAGAAGTGGCGGCTGCATCGTATGTCCTCGTGCCACTGATTCTCTATCCCCAGGTCCTGGTGAAAGGCTGGGCCCTTGGAAAGGTTAATTCTCAGAGGCCTGCTGAAGGAAACCCTTCAGGCAGAACTTCTTCTGGTGCAGCCTTCTGCTTGCTTGGTAGATGGCACAGGAAGCCCGATGCATGGAAACATACCAGTTTCCAGGGTTGTTTGTGCGACCTTGTGGGAAAAAGAGGTGGGGAAAGGAAATCCGATTGGTTTTGCAGCCCTGGGCTGCTCCTGCTGAAGCCCCGCCTTCCCTTCAGCCTGCATCTGTTAGCTTAACCGGTTTGGCTGCCTGTCGATCGAAATGCAGGAGTGAATCTGATTGGGAGGTAAAGGAACCTGTGGGCTCCAATAGGGAAGTGTTAAAAGAAGGCAGCTGGATTTCGGCAATTGCTTCTAGGGGGAGGAAAACTGCAGTTTTAACAAATCTTAAAACCCAAAGTAAATTCAATAAAACCAACATATATATCCCTGATCGCAAGAGGCTGCATCAGCAGAAGCCCAGCTTTCTTGCCTTTAGGTTGGCCAGGGCAATAGGGCCTGCAAATGGAGCCAATATGGAATTGTAACTACAGCCAGACACAGAACTACTTTGGGGGGGGGGCAAGGGGATTCTCACAGGCACACGACACTTTCACACGATTCCCACCATCAGGAGAAGAAACTTCCAACAGCCACAAGGCAGTGGGAGAGCTTCATCGCTTTGGCGTGTTCCAGAGCAAATGTGAGTATTCCAGATGAGTTTACAGACTTAATATGCAGTCGTGATTGATTCAGGAAGGAGATGTTGCTTTACGTGCAATCTTTCTGTCCCAGTTCTCCAGGCATGTTCTCCTTTGCTAGTGATACAGGGAGGCCCCTCTTTTTTGGCAACAAGAGTCAGTCCTGCAGTCAAAGAAGAAACCCTTTTAGTGGGACTGCAAGGTTGTTAGTCTGTATCCTTATTATTATAATGTTATTAACATTAATAGGGCAACAGGAGGCTCAGAAGAAGGAATCCTGTCTCTTTAAACCGAGCTAAAAAGTTCTACCATGGTCTCAATGCTAATAGTATTGAGTGAACACAAAAGAGTGCCATCCCGTGGTCAAAGCAGGTATTGCAGCCACCGAAAGGAAAAAAAAAACTTTTAAGGGCATTTTAATATTCTGTGGCTATTGAAGCCATCCTAGGCCTTTTAAACCCGATTTGAGGCTTTTGAAACATGATTCTTCTGTGTCGCTTTTGCAGCCCGCGGGAGCGGAAAAGTGCCATCCTGTGGCCCAAAAAGAAATAGCCACAAATAGAACCCTTTTAATGGGATTTCAAGTTTATTATTCTGTATCTATTATTAAATGTTTTATTAATATTAAAAGGGCAACGGGAGGCCCAGGGGCTGCAGCACAGGCACGGAAGAAGGAATCCTCCAAAAGCCTTTGTGGAAAGTTATCACCCCAGCCCTCTCCTAGAAAAATGAAATATCCTGGGAAATATTGAAATGGCAGGATATTATATTTCCCTGGATGTGAAAAGGAAGAAACATGTTTCAAACAGACAAAGTAACTCTCCCTGCAGCTTCCCGCCCCCACCCATTTTGTCCATGGGCCATTAAAGCCTGAGCTAGTCCCTTTACATAATAAAGAGTTGTCCCCTTCAGCTCCAGGGAAGATGGGATTAAGGCATGATAATATTGGCCCTTTACCCAACTCCCCACATGGCATCTGAGGACTCAACCAAACCTGGATTCAAAACGCAGCCTAGAGCAGTGTTTCTCAACCTTGGCAACTTGAAGATGTCTGGACTTCAACTCCCAGAATTCTGCAGCCCACGGAAACATTTCCTGGCTGGGGGAATCTGGGGGGTGAGGGCCAG